ATATGGGGCATGCTGCAACAAAACCAGACAAAGTGAACATTCTATTATGTAACCTAAATGAGAGGCTGATGTGGCTGAAAGTTAACTAATTTGACTAATATTAATGACGTTTTGAAAGTAATTTGGTGCTCATTCATAACTTATGACTTGTTAATTTTAATGCTCACTTTATCATACCAGAATGTGATGAATATAAACCATAACAGGAGTAATATAGGATTATCCCTATATAAAAATAATATATATGAAACTAATTTACATTAAATCCACCATAGAACCCAAGAATTACAGTACTATTCGAAGCATTTTAAAAGAAGCTCAAGGAGAAAAAATCGCTCTACACTAAGAGATAATGCATCAAAAGGCCAGTTCATTCGTTTAATCATAGAGGAACATAAAAAGAATGAGAAATACTATGTGTTAAGCTCCCTTCTGCACAATAATACAATGTGCTCCTCCTTGCACGAAAACCACTTGTTTCGTCAGCAAACAAAGCAGCACAACTCACCTGGCGTTTACAGGATGAGCGTTGGACATGAAGGGAGGGAGAAAAGTCTTGTGGCATGACAAATCAACATTTCCGAGTTCCAGCAAAGTTGATATAGCCGCGGGCCGCTAGATGAGCGATCATCTTCCTTTTCTGCTTGGCGACTGTGAAAAACAGTGCCCCAGCCAGATGCATTGAGGCTGTTTCTTGTAGAAAGGTGTGAGACCTATCGTTCTGATAGAAGGGTACATGACAGACACTTCATACGTCGAAATCCTTTGCAATCATGCTACACCCACCTTTTGCCATGTTTCCGAAGAGGAAGGCAAGAAATTTCTCGAAGATCCGGAATGTATGTTCTTAGGTGGCTAGCGCAAACTCCCGATCTAAACCCCATAGAAAATTTATCAGCAATCATAAAATCAAGTGAGAGAAATCGCCAGCAAACCTTCGTAAGCTTGAAATGTATGTGCAGAACGCGCGGAGGGCGATTCCGATTACAACGATCAGGAATTTGATCTACAACTTGCAACACGGGGTGGCCCTACAATAACAAAGTATTAATGTACATGTACATGTATTAGTGAAAAACGTAGTCGATAACAAATGCAGATGGGCATTTTGGTGGGTTTGGTTCAAAAAATTGAAGTTTACAAAAGAAAGGGCAAAGCAAGCCGTGATATGGAGGTGGAGGCAGAGAGAAGGAAGTGGAGAGAGCGTAGTTTTATTAACAAGAAAACGCCAACTCTTTCGACGTGTTCCGGGACACTCGTCAACCGGCGAATAGCAGCACACCCCAAATCTTGCGAGGATGTGTGGTACGAAGAGGTCCTCTTTTGTTAACTCTTCCGATGTGTTTCGGGACACTCATCAACCAGCGAATAGCAGAACACAAGTCTTGCAGATGTTTGGTACGGCCGGGCTAGAAAGAGGCGAGGAAAGGCTATAAAGACGAATGATTATCGAAAGAATTTTTTACGCATCTTATTATTATCACGTGATACACACGTATAAAGAAAAATACGCGTCGCTCGCCGCTAGTTTTCATTTTATAATAACTTGTTGTACCTTGCAATAGTAAAGGGACAACTGATTACAAGCCGTCATCAAACATAAGAAAAAAGCTTCATTCCTACTTCCTCATTGACGATACGTTCTCCACCTGGTGCGAATGGAGCCTAACATCCTTCTTGGAATCCGAGAAAATGAGAGGAGCCTTGGCGGTTTGTAGCAAGAGGGCGTTGCATCAGCAGTTTTCGGACTCTCTGAATGCCATTCTAGAGTCAGATGCGCCAAGCGAGGTAAAAAAAAGAGTCAAGGATCTCAAGAAAGAGGTAAATAGCGAAGAACTTCGAGTATTCGCTGGTCTGCCACCAGAATGGGATCTCAAGATGTTTTATTAGATGTATTCGCCGGCTGTGCAACGGTTCTGGGAACAAATTCAAGTCGAAGAGGAGCTTACATTTGCCAAAACAAAATACAAAGGCAAAAAAGCTCTCATCAGCCTGAAAAAGGATTTCGAAAAGGTACATACAACTTTAACTAGTCGTCAGTGATACCCAATATACTAACTTCGGGACGCATATTCCAGGACGTGCTAAACGATCTTGAAAAGATAGTAGAGGAGGAGGTTACTGTAAGTGTTATTAATATGTGGTTAGGTGTAGAAAGTGGCTAATATCTTATTCTTGAATATTTAGAAATCGCGATCTGTGCTTGAACAACCTCTAAAAAGACCTGCCGCCGATTTTGATTATGATAGCTCCGATCATGCTGTGGACGGTCTCGATGCCATAAAGACGCCTGTATGCAAATAGATTTGCCAAAATTTATAAGTGTAAATACTGATTATAACTTTCAAATCCCCAAAAGGATTCTTGTGAAAAAAATCAGGCTGGGAAGAAGAGGAAGATGGCATACGATTCTGACGACGTATTTGAAGTTGCACTGTCCGACGACGCGCTGTCAACCGAAGAACCAAATAATGCCGCAGAACATCTGTTAATAATAAATGGGACAGATATTCAGTCGAAAATGAAATTGTGGCGCAAGACGTCAGCACACATTCCCGAAATACACAGGCAGGAGTATGTTCTAGTTGACTTGCTCTTTGTTGCATGAAATTACATTAATTTACATGGTGCTATTTAGCTTGTTAAGATACAACATACTCGACACTATTGACTCTTCATCAACAGAAGCACGAACGCTCTTTCAAGAGTACTGGAATGAAATAGTCAGTAAGATTGAAATGATATTTCCAAATGAATTTAGAGATGCAAGTATGAAGGCACAAGCAGCGGATCTAAAAGAATATGCAAAAGTTTGCCTACGGGGTGTGGTGAGTTATGTTTTGTAAAGATTAACTTAGACTTGCTAATATCTAATAATATTTCCAACAGAACACACCTCAACGATTGAAAGAGGCAATCAAGCGAGCAAAGGAGGAATGCCAGAGCAAAGTTGAGAGCGGACAATGCATTAAATGGAAGAATCTGACATTGAAGCTCATGAAAATCTTGTAAATATCTGTTTCATTTTCATATGAAATATCAAACGTCATTAATACCATGTTTTATATAAACCAAAAACAGTTTCAAAATGGAAGAAATTGTTTCAAAGAACAGCAGACAGAGTACAATTACATAATTAAATTTGTGTCACATGTATTTTCTGCCCTGCTTGATGATCTTGTTGACCTTGGCTGTATGTGGCAAGTATCAATGCAATGAGAGATGTTTGCAGAGTCTTTGATATTGATTGACATTTGATATTTCCATAGGGGCGAAAAGACACTGAAGGCCTCTGCAATTGTAATCACTGTCGCCATGTGGGAGGCAGCTAGATGCTATAATCAATTTAGCAGAAATTAATTAGAATTTGTGTTAATTGAAGTATCCGGAACACCATGTGATCTAGATCACACACATTATGTGGGAGATCGCAAAAAAATTGCCAAGAACTTAAAAATAATTCTCAATTTCATTCGGACAACCTATCCAGGAAGTTTTGAAGCATTCAGGAGAATCAAGGTCTTTGGCATACAAATCTATGGTGAGTTTTGCAAGTGTGGCTTTTATTTTTGTTGATACTCACAATTTCTATACTTTATCACTTGTAGACAATAAGTTTTACATATATAGTATGTCAATGCCATTTGCAAGGATTTACTATTTCAAGCTAGAAATGGATTTGAGTGTCCAGCCATTTCTTTTACATTATTCAAAGCTTTACCAAAGTTCATCTCAGATTTATGGGAAGTGCAAGTAAGTGTTAATACATGAGTGAGTGTTAAATATACAGTGCTGGCATACATATATCCATGACACAAATTATAACATTAGGATGCCATCCTTTCAAGCATTGAGACCATCACTGTTTATATGGCAAGTACTGCTGACTCAGATGACAATGACGATCAGGTGGATCCTGTGACAAAGTCACCATCAAAAAAGCGAACTAGAAAGAAGTAATCTTAGTAGGAATAATCTTAGTAGAACAACTTTTTTTTCCTAGCCTACAATAAAAGCGAAGTTGAATGTGCCAATTTCAGGGGATGAAAGGACCTGCATGTTAAATCAGCTTTCAATGTGAAAGCTAATTGTCGGATGAAAGTACCTTTCAATTGTCACAACAGTGCTGCTTGTGTATCAGTGTGCGATATTATTATTTTCGAGCGTCGTCGCCAGTGCTCGTGCCCAAATCCTACGGACAGCGTATGATTAAGCAAGAATTATAATACCAACTTTACAGAGACGTGTATAATGAAAGGTACCTTGTAGTATTTGATATTCTAGCCTTTTCCACCGTTGTTGGCCGCTTTCCGTGTTTCATATTCTGGTATAGTGTAGAAGCTGATTTCCGCAATGTAAGAATGTGGTCGAATCACGTGATTATATCTACATTTGGGAACGCCATATATATACCTTTACAATTGGCGTTATGAACTCGAATAGAAAGCCAGATAACTTCAACAGAGACGGGTAATAATGTTCCAAGAAATTTATTATGAGCCCTTTAATGTGTGATCCTAATTGGTGCAGGAAATGAACAATAATGAGTCGCGCGATACGAATTCTGCATTGATACATTCTCATACTCTTGCGGTCAAACGGTAATACCTGATCGGTCATGACCATGAGACTTCCGTATCGTAAGCTCTCGGTGCCCTTATATTCCTTCCGATGTTGCAGTCCCAATATTTGCTTAATGTTGTTTATTTCTTGATTCTCAGATACTTGCTTCAGATTGGCTTCCCTCACGTTCAACAGCTTTCCTCTCAAGGAAATACCCCGAAATGATCTCTTCCAACAATTGACAACCCGCTGACAGCCAATGCCTTTGCAGAATCTCCTTCCGTTAGAATCAATGTACACCTTGACCCATTTCGAGTACCAGCCTGGTTAGCATCATCAAGCTTCGCAATTCCGCTAATGCGGGAAAGTTTATGACCGTCTGTTTTTCGAAGCTGCTGTTCTTGTTTGACTTTCATGAGTTTAGCAATATTGTCGATTATATTTGTTTTAAGCACTAGAAAAAATGTAAACAATACTTTTATGAGTCTCTGGTAAGTCTTATCCGTAATGTTCCAGTCATAAATTTGAGTCGATAAAATCTCACTTTTTTTTACAAAATCGTCGCTTAACACAGCAGTACTTCCAAACGCACTCCGTTGTAAAGTCAAGGTGTCTTTCGTTTGGGAATCGAAGGCCAGATTCTCTATCAGACAGTTTAAAAAGATCCAGAGGTGATTTTTAATTTGAGAGGGTTTTGGTGGGGTTATTTGTTTGAACTTTTTCTTTATTGTCTCGGTAATCTCGCGAACAAGTTGATCTGCAATGTAGTTAACGTGCGTTCCACCCTTCATTGTGCAGATACTGTTGACAAAGCTGACCTTGAGGCCGCAAGGGGGTATACGGAAATATGTTGTCAATTGGCTAATGGTATTCAAAAAGGCCAAATATTTCAATTCAATTCCTAGGCTCACCTGTTGGGCCCATCACTGACGCAAACACCAACTTCCCATCGATCGTTAATATTTTCGTAATAAGAGTCGGCTTTGTCCCTTCATCTTCCTTAAGGTATAGCTCGCAATACTGCTTAAAATTCTTCACTTTTATTCTCTCGCCATCAAAAACACCTTTATATTTTTTACACTTCCGGCTAGATCATAGACGAGTTTAACAAGAAGCGCCTCGGTGTCTTTATCGATCGTGGTCATGCCAAATTTTCCAAGGTCGGGCTTGAATGTGATGCGAGTAAAATCTTCCTTTTTGCTGGCTGTCGTAAGTTTAGGTTGACTCATTTGTCCCATAATGTCTATCGCAAATAAAAATCCGTACACTAAGTTTGTGTTGTCAGCAGCAGTATATACTGTATAATAATAGCAATAATAGATCGATCACCTGAGCGAATGCTTTCCCTGATTGTCTATATGTTTCAACAGTGAACTCGGTACTAAATATGTTACATAGTTTAGCTCCGTATCCATTCCGTCCTCCAGTGACTTTTTTCTCATCGTCGTCGTAATTAGACGAGGTGAGCAAGTGTCCGAATATTAGCTCTGGCACGTAGACATTTTCTTTCTTATGAACTTCCACTGGAATCCCCTGCCCGTTATTATATATGGAAATGGTGTTATCGGCTGCATCTATTGTTACTTTAATGGTATCCATCGACGGATCGCGAATCTTGCAAATCGAATAATCACATTAGGGTTAATAAATTTGTATACAAAAGGGGAGAATATGGCAATGGCTGGCCTAGATTTGAAAATTTCAGAAGGACCTTATTATCAGCCGCATTTACGAGGATTTCATCGAATATTTTGTACAATCCAGGGACAAAAGTCACTAGACGATGGGTCATTGCTTCCTTGTTCTTGTCAAACACCCATCGTGCGTCATTTACCACTTGTACCGAACCAATGTATGTATCTGGACGTTTTACAATATGCTCGATTTGGGTGACTTTCTGATATGTTTCTGTGCAAACCAGAGTAGAAATTAATTGTTAAATAAGCAAGGCCGTCGCCTCAATATATTCGAGGGGCGTGCTAATGATATGTCGACGTTAGGACTGGACTGACATGAACGTTACGCATTGCTCACCTTCAGTCTTTTTCACTCTTGGTGCCAACGGTGCAGTTACCATTATTAACGATGTGTTACAGTCTAAGGAATATCTTGCGAAAGGGAAAGAGGATTATCGTTATGCAGGGGGAAAATTGTAAAAAGTGAACACGCGTATTTTATAAATGGTAAATCTGCAAATTTATGCGTATTCAATCGATATTTTATACTTTTTGAACCTGAAATTTTGGAAATAAGCCAAGGCATATTAATATGGAGTTTTGATGAAGTTGTGTTCGTTTCTCATCCTTGTTCAAGCGATGACAAGATTGCTCAGTGAACCAAAATTAAAATTAATCGTTTCAAATTTAGCAAGAATGTTTGTGTTTGTAATACAAGTTGTGTTTTATTTGTTGTAATAGTTTGAAAGCATTCACGAGTATCAGGTTAAACATTCCCTCGGATATTTAACGAACTAACGTCGATTAGGTATCGCCGTACAGTAGGACCAGAACTTTGAACATGCACAACATACATGGCATGGAAGCATATAGTATTTAATTTATTTTAATAAACCGCGAATTACGACGATATATGAACAGAACCAATTGCTGTCTTTGTAACTGCCACTAAATCCAAACTATCTCCCTTGCTCCTCGTTAATCTCCCCTAACTCTGTCTCTAACCTTGGCAAGCTGAAATCTGATAAGGGAGGTAACTGATTTAATGCTCACCTTATCATACCAGAATGTGGTAAATATAAACTATAACAGGATTAATATAGGATTATCTCTATATATAAAAATATTAATATGAAACTAATTTACATTAAATCCACCATGGAACCCAAGAATTA